GGACTCCGGCAACTTGTACCACATCAGCAGGAGCTGCATTTGGTTAGAAAACAGCTGGTGGTTGCTAGAAGAGAATCTAGCTGGAGCCCAGTGAAGGCGTTCTGAGAAAATCAAACAGGGGTGACACACTTGCAGGCATCTCACACATCCACAGGGACACCTGTCCCTGGCCTGGGCCCAGCCAGCCCCCTTCTAGCTGTTTGAACTAAAACAAAAGTCAGACCCGATCCTGACCTTGTGGAACTGCAGTTTGAAAGGGGTGGCAACATTGCTGTTGATGACACAGGGGACCCAAGGATCCAGGGAGTAGGGAGGAGGGAGAAGCAAGTGGGTCCCTTCTGAACGCCGTCTGCAGTGAGCACGGCGGCAGGTGGAGCTGTGAGGAGCTGGGACAGAGTGCATCAGTGACTCACAGGCCACCAGCACCTGCTGGTGTCAGGTGACCTGTTGGCCAGGATCTTCCTGGCAACTTCCTCCCTGGTGTGAAGTGCTCGTTTGGCCTCTTATATCTTTTCTTTTAGAAGGATAAATGCTTAAAAGTGAAAAAAAAAAGTCTGGCTTCAGGAATGACATGCAAGGAAGGAAGATTTTAAAAATAAATGAAACCACAGAAACACACCTAAACTCACAGCTCTGCCCCATTGAGATAAGTGCCATTAATATTTTCATATATGCACAGGGACTTCAGAATTCACAGAAAAATGAAATCAGGAGAATTTTGGTGGAAAAAAATTCAAGTTTGTATGTAGCTTTTTCACAGAAAGTCCATGAAGTCCTTCGAGGTTGCTTTTACTCCATGTAGCCCCAGTTCGAAAGGTGACCTCACCAACACCACTTCAAAAGGGATTAATAATGTACTTATGTGATGACAAGGCCACATAGACATCGAATTAAGTGGATATAAAATCCCAAGAAGCGATATAATAAGACAGGAAGTCGGGCCTGTCTGTTTCATGCCTGTCTGGGTCTATTGCTTGATAACTTCCTAGATGCTGAATTTCTTGGGTCAAAGTGGTTGTTTAAACCATTGGGACAGATTATACCCCAGGAAACAATTTGTAGTTTGACCAGCAAGATGCCCATCTCCCCCTGCTCCTGCCCTCCCTGGCGTCTGTTTGGCTGCACACTGAGTCCTCTGGGCCCTGGGCTGAGCCGTTACCTCCCCCTCGCTTAGGTCTTTGCTTGCCTTTGAACAGAGAAGAGACAGGTATGTGTCATGGTTCTAAGCCATAGCAACACCATCGCCACCAAGGCCTGGGGACCTCAGGGAAGGGCTTCTCTGCCATCCCCAAAGTGTGGAAGAAACGGCTGAGGCTGCAGGGCAGTGTGGGGAGGCATTCCCATAAAGGGGGTGGGAAGAGGAGAAGCAGGCCCCAAGTGCTGCCGGGGCCACAGGACTGTTGGGGCAGACTGAGCGGTCACACGCGGCAGGCAGCAGCGGGCGAGACCGTACCTGCTCCAACCTCTCCCGGACACTGAACTTGACAGTTTAGGAAGAGGAAGGGGAGCACCAGAGAAGAGGAAGCTTTCCCTGTAAAAACCACCCACGTGCAATGCTGAACAGCTGTGTTAATTTCTGGAAAGGAAGTTTCTTTTGCTTTCTTTTAAGATTTATTTATTCCTTTGAAAAAAATAGAGGGAGAGGAGAGACAGGAGGGAGGCTGGGTGTGCGTGGCAGCCCGGGCGCTGGCCCAGGCCTGAGGACGAGTCGGTGCTGTCTGAGCCCCCGGGGATCTGCCCTGTGGCAGCTAAGTCACTAACATTATACTTCAGGTGGTGGTGTTAGGAACTTGGGAGATGCAAAATTATGAAAGGATGACAGCAGTCCCGGCTTACTGCACCCATCGCACTAAGGAGAGCAGGCTGCATCAGCAAGAATTCTGGGTCTGGCTTGTCTCTGCACGAGGGGTGGCGGCTGTTTGTGAAGTATCTGCCTCTTCCTCCAGGGTGGGGTCTGCAGGCTGGCGCAGATGGTCCACATATTTCCACAGAACAACATCGAGGCTGAACTGGCTTGCCTCTTGACTCATTTACATAGGCCAATTATTATGACAAAATATCATCTTGAGAAAAAAAAGCTCTGAAAAGAGATCAAAGGCTTTGACACTAAAGCTTTAAGAGGAGGGTATTATGTTATGCATGTGTTGAAAAACAACACGATTTTCCTGGGAAAAATGTGTTTGAGCAGTATCTTGCTAGTTTGTATCTCTGGATAGCAGAGAAAACCTTCTTCTAAAACCCTGTTTGAAGGTCTACAGTTTTTCAAAATACGTGTGGGAAAATGGAATTAAAAGATGTTTATTCTGGCATAGGCTTCCTTGAAATCCAGGCGCATGAGGAGTCTTCAAAGTTTCCTGGAAAATTCGCATTGTGAAAACACTATGCTTGGACTTTAACTCTTTCTTTGCACCCAAACAAACTTACCGTCTAACTCCATTTCCGTGCAGGCGTTCTGAGGTACCTTCCTTCCGTTCAAGCTTTTCACGAAGCTGCCAACCTGTGATGCACCGTGGGTGTGCTGTGGGGGAACCAGGCAGGGAGATTGGGTTGGATTAGGTGAGCTGGGATCACAACCAGATCTGTAGAGGCTGTACCATCTTACCCACCTGTGCGTGTAATACACCTGCTTTCCATGCTATACCCATGTGCCATCTGACCAAGGAGACACCATGGTCGTCTGATTGCATCAGCTTCCGGTGGAGCCTTCTGCTCATGGAACTTAACCCTATTTGCATATTAAACTAGGGCACCACCTCCTAACACACACTGAAGTGTGGGGGTTCAATACCCACTGCTGCTCCTGGCTCCACCTGCCTGTTGGTGCATGCCCTGGGGGTTCCTGCACCCTGGCTTCAACGTGGCAAGCCCTTATTGCTGGCATTCAGGGGATGAATTGATGAGTGGGACCTGGCTCCCGAGGTGTGTGCCAGCAGGATGCGGCAGTTCAGGTGTCCCCCATGGCCCGAGTCCAAACACCTGCTGCTATCGCTGCATCTTCTGACTCAGTCTCAACTCAAGAGAAATAAAGGCATCTGTTCACATGCAGACATGGAACCTTGCTGGACTGAATCATGTCTCAAAATTCCCATAGGGAAGGCCTGAGCCGGTGTCATTACGCTTAGTGACAGGGTCCACAGGAGGCAATTAGGGTTTAATGTGGTCACGGGGCTGGGCTGATGGCACAGACTGGCGTCTTTGTGAGAAACACAGACACAGAGCCAGGCAGAGACCTTGCCAGCAGTGGAGGGTGAAGTGGGGGGCACTGTCTCCGCGATCCTGGGGTGGCCAGGACTGTGAGACACCTGGTGTCACAGAGAACACTGCTAAACAATAGAAACAAAAGAACCATGGCCCTAACAAGAGGGCCAGTCCACAGAGGAAGCGACACTGCTCCAGGCTGCTTGTGACTCTGCAGCTAGCAAATCCTCCTGGGTGACAGATGGCTCGTCCGGGATGGCTTGGGAGAGGTGTGGCCAGGGCCTGGGACCGGAGGGAGCAGGTTCATTGGCCTGGTTGTGAACGCAGAATTATTGCACTCAACAATGCAGGCTATTGCCAGGATACTCCAAATAAAACTATTTTCACAAAACTCAGTGCAGAAACCTCCCATTTCCTCCAGGGATATTTCATCTTCAATTCTGGATGTTCTTCTAGGCTTCCAAATTCTGCCACAGTCCCAATGCCAAACTATCCATGCTCCCGGTTATCCCTGCAGAAAAAGAACAAAACAAAGATTTGGAAAAACAAGTGTAGAAAAGAAGAAGCATTTGGGTCTTTGCTTTGGCCGCCCGCTGAGCTGGCCCTGCTCTGAGCAGACCTCTCCCTGCAGTGGAGAGGGCAGGGGTCCTTCCTGGTGGCTGGGAGGCCAGCAGCCCGGGGTCCACTGTCCAAGGGGCGACCCATGCACTGTACTATCCAAGGTTGGACTTGGAAATGGACCCGAAATTCCGAGCCTGCTTCAAATTCCCAGAGTGCACGTTGGAGACAACAGAATTGTATTTACAGCAGGAGGTAAAGTTAAGACAAAAAAAAAAAAGGCTCAAATAATACTACGTTTTCAGTAAAAGACCATTTGGACCTCAAGGAACTCTACACCACTTCAAGGCGCCCGAGCCCTTAAAGTGGAGCGCGTTGCCTGGAGGGGAAGCCCAGCCCTGCACACGGTTCCCCGGCTGCCAAGAGCCGCCTGCACCTGCTCCATGCCCGCGGGCACGGCCTTCGCTGCCGTTCTGTTTGAGCTGCCTGCGCGCGGCGCCAGGGCCCAGCAGGGGTCACTGCAGCCCCGAGCCTTTGTGCCCGCCGGTGCCCGCCGTGCCGAGGGCGTGGGACTGGGATTGCCGTGCGCCCGCGCTCCCCGAGCCAGCCCCCGGGTCTCCCGGGAAACAGACTCAGCGGGCCCGGACCCGCCGCTCCGCCTGGTGGAGCAGCGGCACTAGGGCCTGGGCCACCTCCCGCGCCGCCTGCTCCCCGCCGAGACCCGCCCGGGAGCGGCTCCTGCCTCGCGCCGACGTCCGGGGCGGGCCCCGCCGCACCTGGGCTGCCCCCGCCCCGGTGCCGCCCCCGTCCCGGTGCCGCCCTCGCCCCGGTGCCGCCCTCGCGTCGCCTAGAGAACTTTCGTCCTGCGCTCTCGCGGCCTGGCACGCCCCGCGCCTCCCGCACGCCGGCCACGGGCAGCGCCCTCCGTGGGGTGCGGACAGAACGTGAACTGGCCACGCGTGCGAGCCTGGAGATGCGGCTCGAGACCCCCGGGCGGGCGTTGCCGTCCCCTGCGACGAACTGAACCCTTCCTCGGCGGCCCCGAGCGGCCCCTTCCGGCTGCGCGGTGCCTGCGGGTGGGGCGCGCTCCGCCGGGACCTGGGCCCTAGCTCGGGGGTCGTGGGCACCCCCAGGGCTCCCGAGAGCGGACACCCTGCGCGGGCGGGCACAGGTGCGGACCGGGACAGGAAGCCCGCCGGGTCTCCAAGGGGCTGCCCGCTTGCGGGAGCCCCTGCATGTTTGCCGCTCCGGGTCCCGCAAAACTGCTGGAGGGCGCGTGCTGCCCCGCCCTCGGAGGAGCGGAGCCGCGGGATGCGCGGGGACGTGCCGCTGCCCTGGGCGCCCAGTTGGGCTGACGCGGACTCCCGGCTCCGGCGCTGACCGTGCCCGGCGCGGACGCTGCTTGGGCGCCTACTCTGGCCCACCACGCTGACTTCCGGGCCGCCCCGCGTCCCCGGCTTCTCGCTCCCTGCGCAGGGAGCTGGCCCTCTTTTTCGCCCTGATCTCAGCTCGGACAGCGAATGCTCGGCGCCCGAGGGTCGTAGCTCCCTGGCTCGGCGAGACGCAGTGGCAGCCGCCATGGGCTGCTTCTGCGCGGCGCCCGAGGACTTTTACTGCGAAGTTCTGCTCCTGGATGAGTCCAAGCTGACCCTCACGTCGCAGCAGCAGGGCATCAAGGTGGGTGAGGGGGCGCGGGCCAGAGGGCGGCCGCGACGGTGAATGAGCGAAGGCTAGCGCAGACCCTGCCCAGACCCAGTGCAGAGCCACGGGGGGTGGGGGGTGTTCTGGGCCTTTGTGGAGAGCTTCGCCACTCCTCCACTCTCCGAGGTACCCCATTGCTGGGCAGAGACGCGTCCCCGGACAGCAGTTGGACCTGCTCCAAGCTGACCCGACGCCGGCCAGCAGTTGGCTGGCGTTGTGGAGGACACAGGGCCCTGTTGGGCTCTGGCCATCCCTGGGGGCACAGCCTGCCCTTGGGCACGCTCCATCCAGGCTCTGCAGAAGTCTAAATTCCCAGCTGTCATTCTGGAGCGAGGGACAAAAGCCTTCAGCGAGGGTGACAACCTTGTTAACTCTCCCCTTTGGAAAGTTGCACAGCAGCACACAGAGCCGGGTGCGCAGGCTAATGGGAGCGGATGTTCACTTCCCACTCTTCTTGGTGTTCCAGTCCTGGGAATCAAGAAGAGAACTTAGGTCGTACATTCGGTGTTCCCTGTGTGCTTGGAGCGGTGTGGTGTATTCGGAGTTGTGTGGGTCCATGGTGCTCGGCAGGCGCTTGGTGTTCTGTGGAGTGTGAGTGAATGAAGCAGGCACCGGTCAGCCCATGCTGGATTCCTGATTGTCCTCCACGCAGACTGCCTGTGGAGTGTGTGTATGTGCATTGTGGTGGGAGCAATCAACAGACTGACTTCTGATGTGATTCAGAGGCAATAAGGAGATGCTTCTGAACTGGGAAGTCCTTGGGAGTGGGTGCTGGCTGTGTGGGGGCTCGGGAGTGAGGGAGAGCTTATGGTTGTTCTGATCCCTGGAGGGAGTTCTTGGGCCTTACAGATGGACTAAAGATAGGTGAGCTGTGGAAAGATAGCAGCTGCTCTACACTGCATGGTGGTGTGGCAGTCACAGCAGGTGAGGACTCCTCCAAGTCCCAGGGGCGTTATGTTGATGGCCACACCGTCTGCCCACGTGAGCCGTGCTGTGCCCCTGCCAGGCTGCCGTAAGGATGTGTGTGACCGGCACCTGTTAATGCTGTGGGTGTGCGGCCAGTCGAGCGTGGGTGTGTCCTGGTGGAAGGTGTCATGTGTAGCACTGCGTCTTGTCTGTGGCTGATACGCAGAAGTTGACCGACCTGTGTCCCTGTTCTGAGTGTTTGATGCTTAACATACTTCATAGACTTGCCGTGGTGTGTGGGTGTAGTGAGCTTACACTGCATCGGTTACACTAACTTCTGCTTGCAAAAGTAAACTGTTACTTTTGAGTTGCTTGTTAAACCTAGGAAAGAGTTTTTCCCAGGGACAGTTTCGATTCTCACTAAAGACAGAGTTAAGCAGGGAATATCAATGACCCCATTTGCCCCTACAATTGAACTAGGAAAAAAGCTTTTGGCATTTTTCAGAAATATTTCTGTTTTCAGTTTGATGACCCCTTTTTCTGTTTGTTTTTTGTTTGTTTGTTTGTTTTCGAATGAGGACAGCTAAGTTTGTCTTAAAATTGTCCAGACATCCGTCCCTGAATGGAAGGAATCACATCAATTCCTGAATAGTTACTTCAGAATTTGCCGATAGTATTGTTAGAAAGAAAAATGCACAGGGCCTGGCATGATAGCCTACTGGCTAAAGTCCTTGTCTTGCACACACTGGAATCCCATATGGGTGTCAGTTCGTATCCCAGCGGCTCTGCTTTCCATCCAGCTCCCTGCTTGCAGCCTGGGAAAGCACTAGAGGATGACTTTGGGTCCCTGCACCCATGTGGGAGACCCAGAAGAAGCTCCTGGCTCCTGGCTCCTGGCTTTGGATTGGCTCAGCTGTGACGATGGTGGTCACTTGGAGAGTGAATCATCAGACGTAAGATCTTTCTCTTTGTCTCTCCTTCTCTCTGTATGTCTGACTTCCCAATAAAAAGAAATGAATCTTTTTTTTAAAGATTTATTCTTATTATTTTTTCATTGGAAAGGCGGATATACAGAGAGGAGAGACAGAGAGGAAGATCTTCCATCCGATGATTCACTCCCCAAGTGAGCACAACGGGCCGATACTATGCCGATCCGAAGCTAGGAGCCTCCTCCGGGTCTCCCACGCGGGTGCAGAGTCCCAAAGCCTTGGGCCGTCCTCGACTGCCTTCCCAGGCCACAGGCAGGGAGCTGGAAGGGAAGCGGGGCTGCCGGGATTAGAACCGGCGGCCATATGGGATCCCGGGCGTGCAAGGCGAGGACCTTTAACCACTTGCGCCACCGCGCCGGGCCCAAGAAATGAATCTTTAAAAGATGCACAGTGAATTTGAAAAAAGCATTAATTGTAGTAGAGCGAAGTGAATGAACATGCTGTCATGTGGGGGAAAGGAGGTCTTTCCATGTGGCTCAGGCTGAGCTCCATCTGGGATTGGAAGACCCCGGTGTGTGAGCAGGGGGCTGGCTGTGCTGATCCGGACCCCGGTGTGTGTGAGCAGGGGGCTGGCTGTGCTGATCCAGACCCCGGTGTGTGTGAGCAGGGGGCTGGCTGTGCTGATCCAGACCCCGGTGTGTGTGAGCAGGGGGCTGGCTGCGCTGATCCGGACCCCGGTGTGTGTGAGCAGGGGGCTGGCTGTGCTGAGCCCAAGCGCGTAGCTGCCGGCTCTCTGCTGCCGCCTCTGTTGTTATCCAAAGGGTTTCTGCTGTGCTTGCTCTTGGCTTTGTGAGCAGTGTTTGTTCTGAGATGGCTTTGTTGGCACCTGGGCTGGGGGTGGGGGCAGGTCAAGATCTTATGACCAAAGCTGGAATGTGGCTTGCACTGCGCTTGCGGATCGTCATTTTGGTAGCCAGAGCTCTTCGGAGGAGACATCACGTATGTGAGCCCAAGTTTTGCCTTGAGAATTGCTGGTATGAACATGGGACAGGCAGTGTCTTCCTGTTTGCCAGCCTTTAGCCCCTGGAGTGGTGACGTGTGCTGCCTAGGGTTGGTCCCCCACCTGTAACAGCAGGTGGACACTTGACTCATGTCCCTCAGTCTTTACTGAGGTGTTCTGCATGTTTACCATCCACCTGTGAGCTGCTCAGTAACACCCCCAGCCCTCACGCCAAGGTTCCTTGGAGTTCACTTTGATTGGGAACTTCCGGATGCACCAGAAAACCAGTTAAAAGGCAGGGGCTGAAATTACATGCATCTCTCATAAAAAGTATTGTAATTTTCATTCCAGGTGCACTGTTTAAGACAACGTCTCGGAATGCGGGGTTCTTTATGGATTACGCCGTGCGTGTGTGTGACCTGTGAGATCCGAGTTGGGGACCACACAGGCACAGGTGGGAGCTGTAACCTGTGGCTCCCCTTTCTGTTGGTGTCGCCTTGGCCGTAGGACCCCTCTGTGAGCCATCCAGCTCTCAGTGCTGTCCTGTTGTGATGGCAGATAAGGAAACAGTTCTTAAACACACATTCTGGGTTTGGCGCGGTTACCTAATGGCTGAAGTCCTCACCTTGCATGTGCTGGGATCCCATATGGGCACTGGTTCATGTCCCAGATGCTCCACTTCCCATCCAGCTCCCTGCTTGTGACCTGGGAAAGCAGTGGAGGATGGCCCAAAGCCTTGGGACCCTGCACCCACCTGGGAGACCTGGAAGAAGCTCCCGGATCCTGGCTTTGGATCAGCTCAACTCCAACCGTTTTGGCCACTTGGGGGGTGAACCGGTGGACAGAAGATCTTTCTGTCTCTTCTCCCTATAATTCTGACTTCCCAAGAAAAAAAAAAAGTCTTAAAAAAGCAAAAAACAAAAACAAAACCACACATTGCATGTTTATAGGAAATGCTTTGTTTTTCCTTGAAACTATATATTTTTTTCAAAAACACCTTTAATGTTGATGGCTGAATCCAGGCCGGCAGCTTGGGAGGGGGAAGCACGGCGTGCCCTCACCCCCGCAGCCCGTGGCTGCCTCCCTTGGCAAGGCAGTGTCCGCAGGCTCAGGCAGCGCTGCCTGAGCTCTGGCTGCATGCAGTGTTTATGTGCTCCGTGGCTGGGACAGGGCCGAGGGCAGGCCGGGCCGGAGTCTGCACGCTCAGCTGCTTGTTCTCAGTGACACAGACAAGGTGGGGTGCGACTTCGGCCCTGTGGCTTATGCCAGGTTTAGTGCTCGCTGAGCAGTGGGAGCCTCAGGAGGCTTCCCTCCAGGAGATGCCAGGAGCTCTTTCTTACTGTGCTTGCGTCCCTGGATACCCAGAGGTACTGCTGGATGCCTTCCTGTCTCTGCCTCCACCTTCCTCTGTTGGAGGGGCGGAGGAACTGTCCTGCCTCTTGCTCGGTGAGGACCACGGGGTCCCCGCGTCGTCCCACGCTTCCCGCTCTTACTCTGGGGACAGTGGGGGTTGGTTAGGAGCAGGGCCCTGAGGGCTGCATGTTGGTGCCGTCCAGGACTTACCAGCTGTGGAGCCTTCGGAGAAGGTGTGCTTCCGCCTGAGGCTGGAAGCAGGCGTGGCACCTGCACCCCCGTGGTGTCCGTGTGAGGACGTGGCTGTGTCCTGCCCCCTCTCCTTGTCCTTCCCTCCTTTCTGTCCAGAGCCTGGCCTCATGGTGGCACATGCTCTGCCTAATCTTGCTCTGTCTGCCCGGTTGAGCTCTCTCAGGCCCGCAGGACAGGTCGCCTTCTCGTGCATTCCAGGAGCTCTTTTTATTTCCTGCACAGCATTCCTGCTGACAGGTGTATCCTTCCGTGTCTCAGCGCACCCTCACCACGCTGTTCCTGAAGACTGAAATCAAGTGCCACCTGTTAGGAAGCCTTTGGCCGAGCCTGACTGGACCCTTGTCTGCACCCCCTGCACTTCCTGTGGTGTCGGTGTTGCTTCTGGGCTCACCTGTTTGCTTGAGCAAGCTGTGACCCAAGCAGCTCTAGCTGTGAGCTGCTGCTAACGGATGCTTTTTAGCCGTCATCTGAGGAATGAAGGGCGTGTTACAACTGGGATAGCTGAATTGGCAGTCTCCCATGTGAAGAATAAAGTT